TGTTTTTCCGGGTCAGTATTTCCGTTATAGCTTAGCTAATTTCCGCATGTGCTAAAAGAAAATACTTCCGGTAGGGTGTTTTTATTTATTTTTCTTTTTATATTTCATTGCAATTGTAAAAAATATTATATAATATAAATACAATCACAAATATACAGATAAAAACAGTTTGGTTCCATTTCACTAAACTCCTTTGACTGATATTTTCTGAAATTAAAAAATGTATCAAATAAATGTATATTTGTGTATCAAACGTGAGGAAAACTGGAGTAATAAATGTGCATTTCCTATTGTGACCTTGAGTACAATCGCCGCTAATATAGAGTGTTAGAAGAACCTTAAATCGTCCTTTTACCAAACCTTTACACAGATATGTTTGTGAGAATTAGTAAAGGCACTGCTTGCAAATTAGATACTTTTCATTTGGTTCATAAATTCACAGATGCCCTGATTTAAGGGCAAGTGTAAACACAAAGAAATTATTTTATGACACAAAATAATAAAACCTTAAACAAAGGTCAAAGCTTCCCCTTGAAATATTTAGTTTGCTGCTTGGGGACAAATAATGAATAAGGAAAAGAAATAAAAACAGCCAAGTGCCCCCCAACAAAAACACACTCACACAAAATCTCTAGAGCAGGTGTGTCAAACTCATTTTCGTTTTGGGCCAAATCAAGACCATGAAGGCTCTTAAAGGGCCGGTTGTGCCAGAATGTGTTGATAAAACCTGTTCACAAACTGTTAATATGTCAATGAATTCTTAAAATTACATAATATTATTGAAGAGCTTTTCAGTCCCTTCAGGAATAAATGCGACTATTTACCCACTGTATAAATCATGGATTATAATCATACATCAACTAAATTCTCAAGAAACTGGAGGGATTGATTGACACAAATTGGCAGTAAACAGATAAGAACTGCATTGATATAATTGATAATATAATATTTTATCACACTTAGTGTTTAGTCTAGTCTGTGGAGGGCCACATAAAAAGCTATGGCGGGCCGGATTTGGCCCCCGGGCCTTGAGTTTGACACATGTGCTCTAGAGAATACCACAAAGAAATGAAACTCCCCTTCCACTAGTTTCTTCAGTCTAATTGAAACAGTCTCTTTAAAATGAGCCGGAGGGCTAAACAACAGAATCCCCCTTTCCTAAAAAATTATTTTAATCAGTAACTACCCAGAATAAATGATCCTAATCTGAAACTAAACTAAACTGAAACGAAGCTACACTGAAACAGTAGCAGGCTAACCTCCTGATAAGTGAAACCAGTCAAATGAAATGATTGATCCCTACAGAACTGCTTTCCAATATTTGGTGGGCGTGGCCTACATTCTCAACAACGCCCTCCAGAATGATTTAAAGAAATCAGCTCAAACCATCCTTGAAAGAGAATCATGAAATCTGGTAACACATGTGTAACTTCTCATGACCTACCAAAAGTTTTTGGATACTGCATCTGATCAGTGTCCAGATTCAGTGTTCCAGCTCTTCTCCAATAGAAGCAATTAAATTATTTGAATCTTTTTCATTGTATTTGGGCCAGCAATTAATTTCTATTAGACAAAATTAAATATTTGGGTTTGTTTAAGCCCTTCAGAACCACAAGCACAAAAAACTGCTGCACGCTCCCGGCTTGTCCACGTTCCCATGTACACATCCACAATAGTGAAGAACAGACTCAGGGAGGAAATTCCAGTTCATGTTTCAGGAGGAACAGTATGTAGGCAGAATATGTAATCCTGCCTGCATATTCACATAATCAACCTTGCAACCTCCAAATTCATATAGCGTAAAGTAACTTAAAATGTGTAGATGAAATTTTAGCAGCACAGCATAGAACATTCTTAATAATTGGTCATTGTGATGACTGAAATTTATTTAATAGTCACATTAATAGTAATATTAAATATTATGATAATTAATGTTACTATAATCATCAGATTATTATTGTTATAATAATATTAGTTATCATAATTAATATCACTGTTAATATATTACTACTATTAATATTAATGAATATTGAATGAGAATGAACCTGAAAAGTACTATATGAATTTTAAATTCATTGTTTAACCTATAGCTAACAGATTTAGTCATTTATCTGGACTCTTTCTAAATCATATACAGTTAATGTCCTTTTTATAATCAAAATATGAATAAATGTTTAGAAATTTACAGATCTGTCTTCTATTTTTCATAAATTTGAAATCTCAAGTCATCCTTTCCACACATACTGCAAAACAATCTTCTAAAATAATAAATAAATATATCACATTGTGGGGCTGCACAGTGGTAGCACTGTTGCCTTGGAGAAGGTCCTGGGTTCGATTCCCGGCCCAGCGTCTTGTGCGTGTGGATTCTCTCCGGATACTCCGGCTTCCTCCCACAGTCCAAAAAAATATGACAGTTAATTGGTCTTTCCCAAATTCTCCCTAATCCTAACTCCCATGGTTGTTTGTCCTGTTTGTTTCTATGTTGCCCTGCGACAGACTGGTGACCTGTCCAGGGTGTACCCAGCCTCTCGCCCGGAACGCATCTGGAGATAGGCACCAGCAACTCCTAAACCCAATAGGGATAAGGGTGAACAGATAATGAATGGATGGATCATATTGTGGTGTAAAAATTGTCTTGAGCAGAATCATCTGCCAGTACAGAAAGAGGATTTTATTTAGATTTCCTAAACATAAAAACAAATAAAAATAGAAAACACAATAATAGGTGCAATTTTGAAATCCTGAAAATTTTATTTCATTGAGAAATGCTGAAAATTCTGTTTTTTCATAATAAAACCTGGAAACAATATTTTGATACACTTTTGCTTATTCCTTTCTTTGAAATGTCTTCTTAATTATTATCAACAATATATAGAAAAAATATTGTGCAAACAAATCAAACTTGAGCAGATTTTAACCCAAATAAATCCTGAGACAGCAGGCAACACAGAGACAGATGGGACAAACAACCATGCACACACACACACCTAAGGAGAATTTAGAGAGGCCAATCAACCTGACAGTTAAGTTTTTGGACTTTGGGAGGAAGTAAGAGTGTGAATTTTTTCTTCCTTCAAATTAAATCTATATATAGCCATTAATGTCTAAACCACCGGCAACAAAAGTGAGTACACACATTAGTGAAAGTTCCGTAAGTGTCAATATTTTGTGTGGACATCTTGAGACATTTTGGATTCAGACACAGATTTGGTGATATGATTACTCTAATAAATACCAATATTAACTGCTGTGTTTATCAGAAGGTACATGCTCTAGATTCAAAGTAGAAAGAGGAATCAGACACGGTTGCCTCTCTTATCATAGTGACAGAATTACGAACAATAACTTAAAAACGCACAGCTTTTAGCAGTTATTGGCAATAAAACAGAATTATCATAAATCAAATCAAAATCAAATCAAATTTTATTTGTATAGCACATTTCAGCAAGGCATTTCAAAGTACTTTACATCATAAACACAAGAACACAAAGTCATGCAACATATAATAGACAATACATTGTTACATATTGCATTTCAAAAACAATTCTAAACAAGTGTGTTTTTAATTGTGATTTAAAAGAAGTCAGGGTTTCCGCTGTTTTACAGTTTTCTGGAAGTTTGTTCCAAATTTTTGGTGCATAGATGCTGAAAGCTGTTTCTCCTCTCTTGGTTCTGGTTCTGGGGATGCAGAGCAGAACCAGAACCAGAACCTGAGAGTCTGGAAGGTTGATACAACAGCAGCAGATCTTTGATGTATTGTGGTGCTAAACCGTTCAGTGATTTATAAACTAACAACAGTATTTTAAAATCTATTCTTTGAGCTACAGGGAGCCAGTGGAGGGACTTTAAGACTGATGTTATGTGGTCTATCTTCCTGGTTCTAGTGAGAACGCGAGCAGCAGCGTTCTGGATCAGCTGCAGCTGACATAAGCCAACACTCTTCTTAAAAACAAAGTACAAAACCTTTTAGCTTTAAAAGAAAGAGTTATTTTCAAAAGCCTCACAGCTGCAGCTGAATATAAATAAGACAGAGGGACAATAAAGCAAAAAAGTACAAAATAATCCAAACTCCAAAGTCCTGGCAGAGCAGAAGACCCTGGTCTTCCTGGGGTCTTCCTGGTCTTTGAAAGCAAAATCAACATTGATTCACTTAGCCAAAAAGGTACTATCACAAAACGTTCTTTCACAAACAAGAAAGCAGGAACATTTCATCAAATCTACTCTTCCTCCTCACCCCTAAGCTATAATGATGTAGATGAGTTGGTAGATATTCTCCATTCTAATTTTTGAGATATCATTGATTCCGTCGTCCCCATCAAAGCAAAGGTTGAGTCTGGGAGGAGCTAGTCTCCATGGAGAAATGCACACGCAGGTAGATCTGCCTTGGGGTTTCCCCAGAAGAGCCGAAAGAAGTGGCTGGGGAGAGGAAAGTCTGGGCCTCCCTTCTGAAGCTGCTACCCCCGCGACCAGACCCCGGATAAGCGGAAGAAAATGGATGGCTGGATCCATCCGTCCGTCCGTCCGTCCATCCATCCATCCATCCATCAATCCATCCATCTCCTAAACTGAACTCTCCAAACACCAAACTAACTGACTCAAACTAAATAAACTATCCAAACTATCAAACCTCTATCCACTCTCTCAACTGACCGCAACTCGCCTACAACAACCCACATTTTGAATGGAGCCTGTGGGGTTTATAAAGCTGTCAAACCCCGCGCCAAAATCTGAACCACTTCCTGAAGCAATCACGTGGTACAGCCAGGCAGTGAGGCTTCGGACGTCATCGTTTTCGGCTCTTCCCCTAAATGAAACAAGCCTCGATACGCGCTTTACGGAAACGTACCCTCCTTTACTCGACACACGCTCCGAAGCCTCGGCACATCCCGTAACATCACTAGTTTCAACCCATTCAGATGTGAAAGTTTCACATCTGTGAATGGGATGTAGATATGCTAAAGTTTGAGTTTCACTGTGACACGTCTCCTCTTTGTTAGGTTCGCTGAGCTCAGGAGGATCATGGACAGCAGTTGGTTCTGCACTGTGACAGACATGGAGAGTCAGGATAGATATGTGTGCTACACCCGCAGGAAGGGAGGAGGAGGAGGACTCTGTATTAAGTGAGTAAGATCATGTGATCTAATCAGCTGTGGATAGAGTGAAGAGTCTGTAGGCTGCAGCAGAAACCTGGATTGGTGATAATGGTCAGTGTCTCTATGTCCTGCAGTGTGACGGACACAGTAGCTGTTTGGAGCACAGACTGCTCTGAGGACGTCCTGAAGCCGCAGGTAGATTCCCGTCCTGTATCTCCTACCAGCTCCCCCCATCTGACTCCACTGTCCCCTCAGGGACACGGGCTGGCCCTGAAATCCACAGAGGATTACATCTTTAGGTTCAGGTGAGGGGTGTGAGTCATAAAAGATTTTAGATTGTGAACCACAAATCTGGAACAAACGTCCAAAAAACCGCAAAGCACCTGAAATACTGAGTTCCTTTAACAAGGCTGAAAAGCCACGTGTTTACAGCTGATTTGTAATAAATGGTGCATGAATGAATTCTACTGTGGATCAAAACTTTTCAGTACATCTCTCTTATTTATTGTATTCTGTTTGGATCATGTAAAGAACATTGAGCTGCCTGCTTGCTGAGACGTGCTGACCTGCCTTCGGTGCATTGCTGTCCCTACAGGACTTCATGCCTCAGTGGGAATGTGAGAGTTGTGGTTCAGCATACCAGGGCAGCTCTTCATGTGGGCTCTTGGCCAGACGGACTCAGTATGACCCTCACCAGGATGGAGGCTCCTCAGGCCACAGAGGAGCTCAAGGAGCTGCTCTTCACCATGGCTGACACACTTGCACAGCTTGACAGTTCGTTTGTCCTCTTCTCCATCCTGTTGCCTCCTAACCAGCTACGAGTCTGCTGCAGCTTGGCTTCCTAACTCTATTGGAATCACAAAATTGAATCTCTGTGCTCGTTGTGATAAGAGAGGGATTCCTGGGAAAGTCTTAGAACCCAACCTTGGTCCACATGGGATCATGTTTTTCAAAGTATCAATCTCGATTACAGAGTTATTTATGATTTTACTAACAGTATTTATTCAGTGTTTGGCCCACTGGGACATAAACAGTTACCTAGTTTTATTTTATTGTTTATATCCAACTTGTTTTTCACCAGGAATATTCCACTGAGATTGAAAATGTCTTCTCCAAGAGAAGACTGGCAACAGCACACAGATCTTAAGTTAGCTCACTGATATTTAAATCAGAGACTTATCACCAGAGCTGTGTTTTTCCAATGTTTCTTGAAATATCATGTCTTGAGAGGAACCAGTGAAAGAATACATATTCCAGAAAAGACAGCTGGATCTAAAACCTGACCACAATGATGAGAAACTGCTCTGGCCCAGATATGATGCGGTTCCGAACCCTGGTGCAGCTGCAACTCTAAGCAGGACACAAACACAAACATGGTATTCAGTAATACGGGTAAAACAGGAAAGAATATTTGAACGGCAAAAGTAGAAATCAGAGCCCTTCTGTCGGTGTTTGGAGTTTCCAAACCTCCTCACTTTGATTTTATCACTTTGTCTTTGCTGATTGTGCTGAGCGATTGATAACATCCCAGCTCCTCTTCTGGAAATGTTTCTGAGTATCAGTTCTTCAGATTTGATGCAGGTTTTTATGGGTTTGTCTTCAGGCGGGAGCTCAGCTGGGAATCCTTTGAAGAGCCTGCAGCGATCCCCAGCAGGTAAGCCTCTGTCCCGTCCCAGGGTACCATTTAGGACAGGGGTAGGCACTCCTGGTCCTCGATTGCCGGTGTCTTACAACTCCTGGTCTAACACACCTGAATCCAATAGCTGAATCACCTCCTAAATGCAGTCAAGTTCTCCAGAGTCCTGCTAATGACCTCATTATTTGACTCAGGTGTGTTGAATTAGAGATGCATCTAAAAGTTGCAGGAGACCCTCGAGGACCAGGAGTGCCCACCCCTGATTCAGGAGGTCAGAAAGGAGAAACACAACTTTTGGATAAAAAAAAAAAATCTATAAACACCACAGACTCTATAATTATAAAACAATGTACAGATACAGAAAGACCACAGAACTGAATTCCAAGCCAGGATCTTCATGAACAGACCAGGGTGTGGGTTCCACTGAGGCCTGTCAGATTAAAAGCATCTTCTGAAAAAAAGTTGGTCAGCAGTAAGAGTGAAGCAGTTAAGGATTATAGGGAGTTTATTTTAATAACTCCATTTGCAAATCTTTCTTAATGGGCCTGTACTTCATGTACAGTATATGATTTATTTTTTATTTTTTGTAACTTGTTGATTGTTGACCAATGAGCAGGTTTTATCTCCAGTGGAGTTGGAAGAGTAATTCTTGATGTTCTGGTGATGTAGTGAGGGATGAAAAAACAATAAATCATGAACATTTGTCATGTGATGAATTAATTGCTTATTGTGAATTTCAATCTAAAAGCTCTCCTTTTTCAGATTTGAAACCCCGACAGCAGCAACAGAACGGCGCTGCGACTGTGACCAAGAGGAGGCTTCCTGGGGCTTCACTGATCAACCCCGGCACTAAGAAGTAATGTTCAGTCTAACATCCCAGCCTGTTAGCTTCTGTCTGTCTGAATCAGCAGCTTCCGTCTTTTTGCAGAAAGGTGCAAGTGACCGGCGTAGCCTTTGATGATGAAGATGAAGTCTGATTTATTTTCATGATTTTTTTTATGTTTTAAAGGTGTCTAAACTTTGAGGGACTTGTCTTTTTAATCACCCAAAGTAGCACTGATATTGTACTTTTATTAAATGTTTTTAATTTGGATTATAATAAACTTTGTCATTATAAAGGACATGAAATAAATATATGGATTATGAGATTAGGTGCCTTCTCTTACAAAAGGTTAATTCATGCAACACACAGTTGCACATGAGCAACATGAGCACTCATACATAATAACATGGGAATTGTGGATCAAGTGCACATGGTCCATTCAGTGGGCAGAAACAGTTCACTTTGTTTATCCTTGCTTTAATTGGAACATGGCATTCTTTTAGTTTTAAATTCTATTCTTTAAGTTCAGAGTGTTGGTGAATGCTGGAATTGTAATGTAAAATGGATTATGCCAAAAAATGAAATAAAAATGAACAAAATTGCTGATGTACATGCACCAAACGAAGGATCATTTGGTGCCATTTGTTAGGATTCATGTCAACATTTCTGTGCTGGATCACTGGTGACTAATAACTTGTGACAAGAAACACAAGTTATTTATCATAATGACTGGAAAAATCTGGAATTGATTTGGTCATTTTCCAGGACTGAATCAGTACAGAAAAATAAAATGACAATAGCAAAATGATTTTATTATATTATGAAGATGTTGTATTCTTAATTCCTTTCCTTCTTCTCTATGACCTTCCCTCTTTCTGTTTTTTTACTTCCTTGTATCTTCTCTTTGTCCTCCCTCTTCTCTCTGTCTTTTGAATCCTCTTTCCATTCCTACTTTTGTTGTCCCTCGTTTGTGTCTTTCTGTGTTCTTTCCTTAATTTCTTTTCATGTCCTTTTTGTTCCCATAAACTTATTTATGGGAAATAAATTAATGGGAAATTTATTTCCCATAAATTCATAGTGAAGTTATTTGCATTTTATGTTAAATGGGCTGTAAAGGCCTCTGAACTCATTTGACTGAAATTTCAAAATGAAAAATACGTGTGGGAATACAGTGACTTGATTCTGACCTCACATATTTATTGGCGAGTTTCTAATGAAGCTAATGAAGAAAATTGACCATGTTGCTGTCTGTGTGATTTTATACTCACAGAAAGCTTTATTGGGAATGTCTGAGCAGTCTGTATATGGAAAGTTATGTTTAAATTTGCTGATATGAAAACAAGACAAAATCAAGAGCCCCAAATGAAAAAGAACCAACATTTCTGAGAGCAAAAGCTTACTTCAGTACTACAAAGCTTAAAGTAAAGCTTAACAACTTTAAGGTCCGGTGGGTGACTGTACCTTTATCTCAGAAATAACTGTTTCCTTATGAAAGTAAAATGCTAACATAAAACACATCACCCAAATGACAACCTGCTGATTCTCATCACCTCCAAATACAAGTTTTGAAGTTCCAGATTTCAAGTAATTTTTTTAAGTTTGCATAAATCTGCTGCTGGTGACATGAATTACTGCCCTGTTAGTCTGAAACAAGTTGCTGCTGATTTGTAGTGCCAGTTAGAAGTAAAGTCTAAATTCATTTCTGATGTCCTGTTACTAGAACTGCATGTAGAAAATGATCTGGTCAATAAATAAACAGATCACTGGTACTTTCAATTTAAGATTTGGTGTTTTGTTCCATGAACTGAAACTAAACCAGTTTGTAATAAAATCATCATAATGACATAATAACTGAACACTCCCAGAAGCGGTGTGTGACTAATTGAAAGTTTCCACTTTAACATCTTCAGCATTTCTAAATGCATGACTATGAAGGTCTCACCACAGAATTTCATTCAATGCTTGGCCCATTCTAGACTTTGAATGGGCCAGATGGACTCAAACACTTTTGAGTTTTCTTTGTCGTCTGTAACCATTCTACTGTGTTTACAATCACTGTGCCAGCAGTGATTGATCTCTGGTCTCATCTGCTCTTCATACAGTCCAGAAGACTTTGGATTTATTCAACTGTAGTTTTGGATCAATATTTCTAATTGTCTTTTTATGAACTTTAACCTTTAACTGAAGTCTGAGGAGTCTGAGGTGGGCCTTTTCTTTTGGGGTTGGCAGGTTTCCTACCTGAACTTTCTTTATCACATTAATGAACTTCAGATTGTTTGGAAATGATCAGATTGATCTCAAGTGAATGCTGTTTCTTCTACCTAGTGAATTAATGGACATCTTATTCTTCCTTGCATATGGTTCCTATGGCAGCAGTGAGGATCGATCTCCACACCACTTCTGTAATTAGACTTAATTATGGTAAAACTGATTACTATAGTTATATGTTGGCATTCAAAAAAATGAAGAACTAAACTGATCTTTGATTCTTTCCATCAATTTAACAGGAAAAAGTTCAGAGCTTTTTCCTGTTAAAAAAAAGTTCAGACAGGTGATCAGACCCAGATGTGGTCTTTTCAGTCAGATTTTACAGTAAAATGAATACAAGCTGACAATGCCCCTGTCTACTTAAATACCTTCAGACAAAAAAAAAAATAATCAAAAGGTTTCAAGTTCAACAATCACATCAGAAAAATACCAGTACTTAAATATTAAAACCAAAATCAGGGACTGTAAAGGTTTGTGAAAGGATGAATGAAATAATTCTGAACAGAGGAATCACTACTTGATTTTACAAAACTAATGAAAAAAGTTGTTTAAATCCACATGCTAGCAAATAATCTAACTTCTGCTTTCTGGAAATATGCTTCTTTTTTCTGTCTTTTGCACGTTTATATAAAATACATCACAGAAATCTTGCAATTAATAAACATTAAGCTGAACTTGTTCCAGGAGTAAATATTGTGGACTCAGTTGGGTTTATTGTTACAGTGATGGTAGCGCGGTCGTCATCTCTCCAGGTCGATGCAGTAACTGTTAACTTACTATACACACTGTCAGCACTATAACAGAAAACTGATAGTCCACAAAACCATTATGTGTCTACAGCACAAAGGAAAATATTTGTTTGACACAGAAGAAGATGAGAGCAGTGTGCCACCGTCAGGACAATAATCAAGCTTTGTGCACGGCCTCTAGGTGACTGACATCAAAAAGCGTCTCCATGTAAGATCTGCTGTTCTTACAATATCCAAAATAAATCATTCTTCCTGCCACAGAAAAATAGACTATTACATTCTTATCATGACTGCATGCTCTCAAGACAAGCTGAGATTGGTGCGAGGGTTCCACTCTGGTCAAAGTAAGCTGCAGAACCATCCATCCAGTTGTAGCTGCTCGTCAGCCACTCATACATTCAGGAGAGCTGTGGGTGGAGTGACCCTTCCTCCTGCTCCTGTAGCTCAGTCTGCAGCCCCCGCTGTCCCATCCAGCAGGCTGCAGAGGTCCAAACGTCCCCCGGAGTCAGAGGTCACTCTGAGCCTTTGAGGTCCAAAAGAATGGGATCAGTTCAGTTTCTGCTCCTAAGGTTTTCTGTTTTAACAGAGGGTGTCTGTGTTGAAGGAGAGCTGCACCTGCCACACACGCACACACACACACACACACACACACACACACACACCCACACACACACACACACACACACACACACGCAAACACCCCCCCCCCCCACACACACACACACACAAAAGGAAGGTTGGTTTTTCAGTGCTTTCCAGCTGCATGTCTATCACCCCCCGTTCTCCCTTGGGCCTCGGAGAAGCTTTCATATTTAAAAGAAGTTGCTGGGAGCCATGCAAGTACAAATCAACTCTTGATCACTGGCATTTCTGTTGCAGCTCACCCATTTTACCTTCTGTGCACCAACAAGGTCTGTTTTCCAGTTCGAGGACCAAAACCCCTCAGTTTTATTACCTTGAGAAATAATGAGGTTTGTTTAGGCATAAAAGATAGAAACGTTTATATCTTTTGTACACTTCTGGGTTAATTTTTGCTCTTACAGTGTGTTGTTTTTTCAGCAAATGGCATCTTTTCTAGTTTGTGTTCTCTAGTTAACAGTCAATAACTAAATTAGATGATTATTTCAATAATGGATTAATCACAGTACAGTAGCGCCTGCAGCTGTTCACACTGTGTGTACAGAGATTTTCCTTTAAGTTATCATCTGACCCTCTTTACTATTAACTCAATTGTATAGAAAAAAAAGATCTTTTGTGTCTAAACTAAATATCTTATACGTAGAGCACATCAGTAGTTATCAGACTACAAGCACAATCCATTAACCCTGCTCTAGAGCCACATACTCACTCACATAAAAAACGTCTTTGACACAAATAAAGGTTTCATCACAAGTTTTCAGTCAACCCAGCTACATATTTCTTCAGTAATTTTTCCATCTGTAATATCTGGATACTACAGATATGCATGGATAGTATATTTGTTATTTGACAGATATGGTCTGTAGCCCAAATATACTGTATGATGTGTTTGCAGTCTCATTTCCCTCTAAAATTTACAACACTGATAAATATCCCTGATGCATCAAAAATTGCTTTGATTAAACACACAGTGAAATAATCAGTTCATTATTGCCCAATAATTAATGAATGTCATTTATTTGCGATACGTAGTGCCACAAGCTGCTGAGATATTTGGACCACTGAGAGCTTCATGAACCATGTGACAGAATGCCGAGTTCAAAGAGCCTCGTAACTCTCTATGCCACTGGTTTGACATTTGTGTCTAAAATCAGCTGTGGAAAAGGTACAAATTCAGTTTGTAGTGCACATGGACAGGATGCCAGGGTGAACAGTCATATTGAATAAATCACAATCTACGTCCTGATGAGGCTGGTTTATCAGTAACTTTTTAAAATAATCTGTAATCAGGTACTTTTAAAAATAGCAATTTTTTATTTGTCTGATGTAAATAATAAATGTAATTATTTCATTAGCTGGAAGTATTTGCGTATGATAACTGCGGCTCAAAGGAAAGCTCTCCAAAGGGTTGTGAAAATAGCCCAAAAAAATCATTGATTTCCCTCTCCCCTCTTTGGAAGATTTGTACAGCAACCGCTGTCTAAAAAAAGCACAACACATCATAAAGGACACTTCCCACCCCGGAAACTCTCTTTTTACACTTCTGCCTTCAGGCAGACGATACAGAACAATCAGAAGAACAAGAACCAACCATCATAGAGACAGTTTTTACCCGAAAGCAATAACAAAACTAAATGCAATAAAAAAATAACTATCAATTATCATGAGTGATGTATATCAGCTATTTATGTATTTTTTATATCGTGTGTAAATTGTGAGATAGTTTGTTCAGCGTATGCACTGACTGATAGCACTTTTTTAAAATTTTGTTGTTCTTGTGGCATTGACAATAAAGACTTTTATCTTATCTTAAGTGGAAAATCATTATAATTAACAGAAATAAACTGAAAAACAGCCATCTGTGAGTAATTATTAATATATTTCACTTCGTCATAAAGTTCCTGAAATAAATAGACTTTTCATGAATATTCAGTGAACAGATGGTGAGGTGGTGTTGGCCTCCTCAGCTCATAATCTTCATCTGTTTGTCCTGTGAAATGCCTGGAGATAAACTGATGTCACCTGCTGCTCTACAGACAAACTGAGCCCAACTGGACAAAGAAGGGATGTAAATAACCTGTTGTTGGGTTTTTATATATCTGAAATATTACTCACCCTTTCCTCTTCAAAACTGATGAGTCCTTCATCATCATCACTTTCCAGCTCCTCTGAAGCCTCACTGATCAGAGCATTCAACTCCGTGTTAGCAGGCTGGACTTTCAGGAAACTGAAGATGCGCTGCAAAGAGGACTGCCCGCCACCAGGGGGCAGAACCTCCTGCTGCTCCAGGTTGTCGCTCTGCTTCTTGGCAAAGTTAACAAACACCTGGACAGGAAGAAAGCAGCAGTTAATTCAGCTGCCCTCATTAAACTATGGATGCAATCTGAGGGGACGCACATTGTCCAGGGTAGTCTGACTGACGGAGTAGTCCTCAATGCCCAGGACCTCCACCACTTGCTCCATCTTACTG